TGCCTCACCCGGGAAGAGCGCAATGATGGTGCCAACTTGGGCCAGTGAAGCAACATCCTCCACTAGACTGAAGAACAAAACGACAGCAACTTGTCTGTCCCCCTTCCCCCAATTCCCCAGCACTGTTCCCATCCCCCCCAATTCACCAATAAAAACCTTTAAAAAAAAAAAAAGTTTGGGTAGGCTGAGAGCTAAAAAGACACACAGATACAAAACATCTTTCACACTGTCAAAACAAACACTGTTAAGTGTTTATAAACACATCAGTTTCTTCTTACAGCAAACATGGACCAAGCCATTCATTCTCCTCCTGCCTACCTAGTCTGGGTGAATCTAATCCCCCAACCCTCCCAAAGCAGTTTGTGGGTTTGGTTTGGTTTACTCGAGGTAAGAAAGCCAGCTGGGCTTGAATTGAAGCCAGGCATTGAAAAAGATTTATTAGAAAACTGATCTTACATATGTGTCATCAATACATATTTTTAAAGGCATCAAACAGCCCTCTAGCTCCTATAGTGCAAAGGAAGCCCCCACTGGCCTCTGAGGTGTTGGGCATTTCCTGACTCCTGGTCTTTCCCACCTGGAGCCACATTATATAAGCTCATACGGTATTTCCCCATGTATAAGATGCACCTTAATTTTGGGGCCCGAAATTTGAAAAAAAAATGTATTAAAGTTATTAAACTCAAGTTTTATTCATCATAAAATTCATACAACTCCTCATCACTGTCAAAACTCCCTACCAATTGGCTTGTCCTCATCTGTATCTAATGACGAATCACTGTCTTCATATATTGTCTTGTCCTCAGGGGGAAATGCAAGTAAAAAAATCTACAACCACTGTATAAGACGCACCCAGTTTCTAGACCCCAAGGTTTTCGAAAAAGGGTGCGTCTTATACATGGAGAAATACAGCATATCAACTGATTCTCTCCTGTCTTTGAAGCAGAGAATCGCACAGCCAGGGTTTCAGGACCACCTGAATCAGAACCACCTGGGGAGGACTGCAGGTGTCCAAGATTCACTTCATCAGAAATCCCTGTGAGTGGAGACCAAGCATGTGCACAACCTACAAGGTGATTTGAGACACACCAAAGTCGGTCACCCCTACTTTAAAGGCAAGTCTTCCTGTATCAGGACAAAGATAGGAAGTAGGGCACAATTCCATATGGTGAAGGGACACAGAGTCAGCCAAGACCACTGGAGCGGTTAGATGCACAAACTGAGGCCAGGAGAAGGGAACAGGGCAGGAAACTGAAACAGATGTGGAGCCAAAAGCCAGTCTCTGACCCCCCCACTGCCTCATCTCCTGGCACTTAAGAAGGGTTACTAGAGACTTTCTGTGTGGTAAATGTAGGAAAAGCGGCCGTTGGGCTGAGAGGCCAGGTCGGCTGACACTACTGAGGAGCGCAGGACCCACTTGGACGTCCCGCTTTGGAGACACTAGGGGGGATGTGTGGGGACCCCAGAACAGTGCTGGGAAAGCGCCGGGGCCGCTGGCGGGAGGAGGCCGGGGCAATGCCCTAAGTCCCCCGCCCAGCTCCAGGGTCGGATGGCCCTCATTGCCCCTACCTTCGGTTTCCCGCCTGACAGCCGAGGGGTAGACACAACCCCCCCAATTCCAGGCTGCCGCAGCGGCAACTAGCTCCAGATGCGCAGACGCCGTGGCAACCGTCCGAACCCGTGAACGCGCGGCTATTACGTCGCTCTCCGTCTCGCCCAATTGCCGCCTTCCAGAACAGCAGGCTGTCGCCTCGCTCCCTTTCACGCACTGGAAGTTGTTAGCCCCGCCTCTTCCTGTCTCTGTTAAATTAGCCGCCCCACAGCGTCTCCCTTCGCAACATCCTGCCACGTTTTTTCTCTCTGTATCCCTCCGCCGGAGTCGGAGATAGCTAAACGATGCTCACGTGCCTAGTTTTGCTTCTAAGTATGGCCGAGATGGAACTTCAGAGTTTCTCTCTGATTTCCTAACATCCTAATTTCTTTCTAAGGGAAGGATCCTCAAAAAGAAACTGGAGTGAGTTAAAATAAATCAAGCTGTTGTAACTCAGCTCTGGATAAAGACGAGCGTCTCAAGCAACAAATAGTCCTTTGACAATTCATGGAGAATAGGCTACCTGCAAGTCACCTACCTTACATACTTGTGTATTGTATGAATTTTTTCACAACGACAAAATATTTTTTAAATATTAAAATATTTTAATCTGCCTTATCACTGAACGGCTGCTATTTTATAGGTGCCAGTTGCTTGCATATACATTGTATTTCTGTAACTTTCTAAGATCAGAATTGTCATCCCATTCTTATAGATGGAAAAGCTGAGGCTCAGAGGTTAAAGGATTTATACAACTCATACAACTGGGACTTCAAGTCAGATTTGGATGCCTCCAAAAGTTCTGTTTCTCTTTCCATAATACTACTCTATTACACCTTTCTCTTGCCTCACCTGACCAGTAAAATGGGGCTCTCCCTCAGGCCCTCAGAGTATAAGTAATGATTCCTGGTCATTCAGGAGTGGAGAAAAAGATCATTCAAATAAGCAGTGACCTCCCCCAAACAGAATGTATTCCCCAAGAGCAAGCTAACAACCTTGCTCTTTTGAGTTCCTTTCCCTTTTCTTTGTATTATGTGAGCTTCTAGCAATTAATTTACATTCTTGATTATGTTTGCTTTAAGCAGGTGGGAAATTGGCTTTGCAGCCACGAAGCAAACCTCAATTGGTAGCCCAGGGAGGGAGAACAAACCCCTGGGCAATAGTTAAGTGAGTAGTACCAGTTTGTTAGAAAGATCTAGATAGGACACTTCCCTGGGACTGGGTGGAAAGCACAGGGAACAGCTCACTTTTCCTATAGAACACCCAGGAGACCAGTGAGAGTAGCTGGGCCCAGGAATAATTCTAGCTTGTGTCATTGCCTAGTACCCTAAGGACAGATAATAAATGTTCAACAAATATCTATTGCAAAAATGATAAATTATACAATGAACATGTAAATTACAATCAAGCCTAACAAAAGTTATTTAAAAAGTTATAAATGCTACTGTATAATAGTAAGATGCCCAAAAACAGAATAAGCTCAACTCTGATAATAGAATGAATAAATAAATGTATGGGCCAAGAGAAGAGTTCAGCTGGACAAAGAGTTCCAAGCACTCACAAGTCTGGCTTCCTTCTTGGAACAACTCTAACCAGCTCACGTGTGGGGAAGGGAAATTCCAATTCTCCAATCCCTGACTGAGAACCACCTTCCCAAGGAAACTAATTCTGAATTCAAGCCCCCTGAGGTGCTGAAACCAGTGTCTAGAACCAATCTTAAGCATACAGCCTCTACTTTCATAGGCACAAACAAGGAGGACCACTATAAAGTGGGATATTGGAAGTCCAGGGATTGGAGTGCATGGGTGAGATCACGGTAGGCTCTCTCTTTTGTTTTGTTTTGTTTTGTTTCCCTGTATTACTTGTTTTGGGGTTTTTAAATAAATTTTATTAGGGAACAGTGTGTTTTTTCCGGACCCATCAGCTCCAAGTCAAGTCATTGTTTTCAATCTAGTTGTGGAGGGCACAGCTCACTGGCCCATGTGGGAATCGAACCAGCAACCCTAGTGTTATGAGCACTGTGCTCTAACCAACTGAGCCAACCAACCGCCCCCTGTATTATTCTTGATAGAGCAGATATAAGTTTAAATTTTTCTTTTAAATGAGAGCACGGTAGGGCCGGGCGAGTGGCATGCTGGTTAAGCATTGGCTTGGGATGCCAGCTCTGAGCAGCAGGGCCCCGGTTCAGATCCCACATGAGGGCCAGTGATGCTGCTCCCTCTACAGCTAAGATGGTGAACAACGGCTCAACCTGGANATCCTCCACAACTAGACTGAAGAACAAAACAACAGCAACTTGTCTGTTCCCCTTCCCCCAATTCCCCAGCACTGTTCCCATCCCCCCAATTCCCCTATAAAAATCTTTAAAACAAAAATAAAAAGAACGTAACCATGCTGGCACCCTGATCTCACACTTCCAGCCTCCAGAACTGTGAGAAATGTCTGTTATTTCAGCCACCTGATCTATGGTATTGTTATAGCAGTCCATAACTTAGTCCATGACTACCACGCTTCTCAACACCTCAAACATCAACGTCAAGGACAATATTAGGATAATGAGGGCAGACATGGCCAGCAAACACAACCACACCCTATTCAATGAGCTGCGTAAGGGGAACCTGAAAAAACTATACCGGTAAGTCTGGACTGAACATAGTTCTGTTGCTTCGGTATTCTCACTCTCCAAGGTAGAAAATTGCACAAGTGAGGACACCAGGTGTAAACTCTTAACAAGTCAGGAAAATTCCAGGAGGTTCACCACATGTGTCCTTAAGCAGCTTGAATCTTTTAGGGTTCTGTCCCAAAGACAAACGCGATTATTGTTGATGCTAGGAATCAGGAGTTACCCAAGCCCACCTAAATAGCAACAGGCTAGTCTCCTCATCCCCTACTCAGCTGTGAAATCCTTGGTGAAAGTAAATGAAGAAAAAAAAGGGGCAGAATATTCCCTCTTCAGACCACACATAATTAAAATAAGAAGCTCTGTGTTGTGCAAGACTAAGGCTTGCAGCTTAAGGCCGACTCAGAGCAGGATCAAGTATTCATCCTCGCTCAGAAAGAACAAGATTAGCTCCACCAGGACAGGTCTCCAAATTGACATCAAATCCAGGAGTTAGAGGTGCCTGTGCTATAGAGCATGATCTAAGCACCATCTAAGGCCCCAGAGAAAAATCCCCAGGAATACACAACCAAGGGGGGCCGGCATTGAAAAAATGTTCAGATTAGCTCTCCTGTAAAGAGGCTTACTCCAAGAGACTGGCAGACAGCCTCTGCAGCAAAGCTTCACTTAGGATAGAAAATTAATGAAGAAAAAAAAAGGAGGCAGGATGAGAAGAGCACAAATCCACAAACATAATGAAGAGAATTGGAAGGCATCCATCTATTTGGAAAAAGGTACAACTTGCCTTTAGAGACTGTCATTCTCTATTCATATATATATATATATATATTCACATATATATATATATTATATATATATATATTTATGTTCTCATTAATAGCAAATCTTCATTCTTTGAGGTTGAAAACAGTTACTACATTTCTGTGTCCCAAGAGCTTTTACGTGCATTTCGGCATTTAATCACTCTTCAAAGCAAGTATTATTCCCATTTTTATGCAGTGGAAAACCGAGCCTAAGAGGTGAAATAACTCATCCAAGGTCATATGGCTAATAAGTGATAGACTCAGAATCAAAACTCATGTTTACCACTCTCCAAAAATCTGTTATGACCACTTTGAAAGAAAGAACTGTTAACTTCATCTGTAGACAAGTCAGATAACAAGGTTTCTTAACCATGCCATTTGGGGTTTAAAAAACAAACAAACAGTATGGTGTCATGTATTAATGAAACTGACCCCCTCATGATCCAAAAATGTCTCTGGAGACAATTTCAGAGGTGAACTTTCAAAACTGCTTTGGACAATAGCCATATCACTTAAGTGATGCCATCTTGCAACCCCCACCACCCACACCTACACATACCACTCTAGAGAACAACACTCATTGAAGGATTAAATTCTAGAGTGTTTATTTTATAACCCATTTTGTTACTTTTTCTGTCTCACTTAATTACCTTTTTTGCTACCAATGAAACACACCAGGGCTCAAAGTTGGCCTCTGCTTTTTTTTTTTTTTTTGAGAAGCAAGTAATAGTTGGCCTTCAAAGACAGCAGACAGAGGAAGAAGACAGGAATCAGGATACAAGGCAACTTTTCATTCTGGGGCTACTAACATCGCTAACATATTCCCCATTGCCGTCTGTAAAATAGGGCCAGTAAATCTTTTCTGTAGCCAATTTCATCAGAACAGCACATGTATTAGCAGATTAAATTCACTAAACACCCAGAAGAAAGGTTAAAACACATCTGATGCGGCAACACCTTAAAAACCTAAGGGAAAAAAAAAAACACAAAAAAACAAACCCAACTAAGGGCCATGTTCTCAACTGAAATCATAGACCAAGTCCTGATTTATGTTACACAAACATCAATCCTGATATCCTCATGCCTTGGAACTCATCAAAATCCTATTCAATCCCCAAATCTGGCTAAACTTCCATCAAAAAAGAAAAAGTTGGGCCGGCCGAGTGGCGCGATGGTTAAGAACTCGCTTGGGATGCCAGAGGGCCCCGGTTCGGATCCCACATATCAGACCAAGTGACACTGCCCTCTACAGCTAAGATGCTGAACAATGGCTCAACCTGGAGCTGGGCTGCTGTGAGTCGCCGGCGACAGCGTGGGCTGCAGTCCCTGTGGCAGTGGGTTGTCATGGGC